CAGATTTATTAGACCCTATACAGTGATTACAAAGGAAACCTGTATGACTAACCTAGATTGTGACACTTTTCAGATGTTAAAGCTTGAACACAGGAATTCCACCTAACCTGAATGGCAGGGAAATTGGTTGAAGAAGTATTTCAGTGAAGTAAGCTGAAATATAGGGCAGCATAGAAGGTAATGAGAAAAACAATAGAAGTACTAAAACAATAGATCCATATATCATTGTAGTAAAGTATTGCAAATGAGTTTCTACTGCAATGAAGCTTTGTTACAAAATGCCCTACTACATACCCTAAAAGTGGAGACATCATGTAGTACGTTAAAACATTTATGTTTCCACTGAAAAAAATCCTCAAAATTAATTAATTTTATTGTAAATTATTAGTTATGAATAATTTTAATTATGGTTGATCATAAATATTTTAATTAGTTAATGTGTAAATGTATTTTGTATTTTTTATTTGCACTGCTAATGTTTGACAACATTTTAATGGATTTGAGCTATGGATATGTCTAGGCACAACAGCTCTGTGAGCAAATTAGCAATTTCACAAATAAACAGAATTCCACTAAGCACAGCAAAACTGATTTATGCCAACTGTGACTTTGAAACTATGTATTTTGATGGAAAGCTTTGAAAAAAATAATTACATTATTTAAAAGGTGTAAAGAGAAATCTGAAAACAGAAATAATTGCTCCATTTAACTGTCCAAGATGAAACACAATTGCATCTTTTCTTCTTTTGTGCATTCTTATTTATAGCACACAGTAAACAAACAGCATATTGTGTAGCTTTGAATAGGGGCTGACACTACCTCAAATAGATGATCTTGACAGCACGCCCAAAGAAATGTTCTAGCTTTAGAGCCTAAATTTCATTTTTTTTCTGTGAACTAGGTGCTCATATAGATACATCTTTTAAATTAGGAACACAGTGTTTATTTCATTGTGGGTGCATTGTTGAAGCTTGTGGTCCTACCAGGAGGATAAGGAGATCTCAGAGAAATGAGGGGAGTGCTGGTTGAACCTCACTGCTCCTCTGAAATAGCATGAAAACTGTTCATACAGCTGGAGTGGCTGACTCAGCCACTCTAAGAACAGCATTAGCTGCCAGGGCTGGGAGCAGGAGGCATGACCCCCTCCCCAGATTCCCCACGTGAGGCTGGGTGAACTCTCTGGGTCTGCACCAGCACGGTGGCAATGTGCAGACTGCAGCTGCAGGGTGACAAGGAGCCAGACTCTGGGGTTTGGCATGTGAACACACATCTAGGAGTTCAGTGTGTATCAACTCCAAAAGAAAAAATACATTCAAGAAGCCTTATTGTATCAGGCTGTGGATATTTTCAAGTTTCTATCATATTTATGTTTGTACCGAATGTGTGAGAGGCACCTAGCTTGAAATGCTACTGACATTAGAGTGGAATATGAAGGACTGCTGGACTTTTCTTTCTCATGCATTATACTTACAGGTCACTGACTTCCTCTGCTGCCCAGGGAGGTGGTAGAGTTGTTATCTCTGGAGGCATTTAAAAAAAGACTGGATGTGGCACTCAGTTATCGTGGTTTGGTTGATATGGTGCTGTTAGGTTATAGGTTGGACTTGATGATCTCAAAGACTTTTTCCAACCTAGTTATTTCTGTGATTCTATGATTCTGTTAAATGTGAAATAATTTGGTCAAACAAAAAATGTTTGTCAAGCTCTATTAAAACAACATTTGCTCAAAGCAATTCTAAATAGTACAGAAGCATGTGAACAGACCAAATTCTTCTGACAGTTTTCATCCCAAGTATCGGAGTTAACATTAATTCTCTTGGTAATGTTCCCTGTCAGTCACAGGGACAAGGAATCCAAACATTGCATTGAAAAAGGCTGCAGATCAGTCATCCTCACAGAAACCAGGTGTGGCCTGAAAGGTGTGTTGAGTTTACAGTAAACTGACAGGGCCAACAACAAGTTCTGCTCGTGACCTTGGACAAACCAACAGCTGCAAGAGCTTGCATTTCCCATCAGGTTTGTAAGAAATGCTGAGCCTGTGATATGTCTAAGTATAAATTTGACTTATTTTAAATAAGTAAATACTCACTCCTGTCAGAGTGCTTAATTAAAAATAACAGTGAAATGGTACAATATGAGACAGTCTGACATTCCAATATTTGAAAGCATTCAACTGTTTAATAAAACACTAAGGAGCAATATTTTAAGTAACATGCAATGTTACATTAGTTATCTGCATTTAGTTATTAACACAAGTATATCTATTAAAATGATTTGTTGTGATAATTCAGACTATGAGCCACTTTCAGATGCATGGGAAGTCTGTAATAACTGATGTGCTATTTGAGGGGCAACCAAGTTGTCCATTACTGTCCTGAAGCAGGGTGCATGTGGCACATACAAAATGCAGCACAGCCTAAAAGGGAAGCTTTTAAGCTGCAGTGAGCTAGATATTTCTGGCTTCAGTTCCACCACATACTGCATTTGTGATTTCAGGATTCTTTCCTACTGTTTGACCAGCTCTGTTTTTTCACAAAACCTGCCTATGGTTGCTCCCATCCTGATAGCTCCAGTTTTGGCAGCAAGGGTTGGAACCTTTTCACCTCTGAGGCTCTGATGACCACCGGCAGCTATATCTGATCTGGGTCCTGTAAACCTACTCTGATAGAAGACTGAAACTCAGACAACTTCTAAAATCACCTAGTGATAATCATGATGCATTACATGAGACACTGAAATGCCCAGAATACACCACAGCCACTGTCTTTTTCAAAAAAATATTAGGCCAAATTGTAAGGTGGTGAGTGTTATTTTTAGGAAGGTCAGTACTTTATTTCATTCAAATTTTTATGTTCCAGACATTTTTAGAAAACAGGTTTTTATTCAGTATGCCCACTCAAGAGAGAACAGACTTGCCATTAGCATGTCCTTATTAAGAAGGTTTTGTAGTAGATTACAAATGGGACTTTTTAGCTGGATTATGTACAATAATATTGACTGATTCAGCTCTGCATCTGCCAGTGCAGTCTTTATTGCACTCTCATTCCCATGATTTTCTGTAATGTGAGTACTCTGCAAATAGCACCAGTCCCTTTGTTCCTGGGAGGGAACAGACCTGCCTGGGGCTTGTTGAGTTTATCAATGTTTGGGTTGTTTCCTCAGAAACATACTGGCAAGTATGGCAAATCTGATGAAAATTATTTACCCACCTGACACAATCATGGAACCTCTCTTCATCTTCTTGGAAAGGCTTTTGGTTGTTTGTTGAACTGTGAACCCTATAATAATGATTGTATTTCTGCAGAAATAATGTGCATTTATCAAGCCAGAAGCTGAATGTTACTCATCTGGGTCCTGTCCTCTGACCTGTTATCAAAAGACCAAACATGGTTCTGTGTTTCTCTTCTGTACAAATGTATATTTAAGCTTTGGAGTTATAAAATATAGGAATTATAGAAAACGAGAAAAAAAAAAAAACAACAGAAAAAAACCTGTTGAGTGTTACTTTCAGATCCATTAATATTTGTTCAGAATGTTTTGCCCAGAAAAGCTGCAGCTGCCCCATCCTTGGAAGTGTTCAAGACAAGGCTGGATGGAACTCTGAGCAACCTGGTCTAGTGAAAGGTGTCCCTGCCTATGGCAGAAGGTTTGGAATTAGATGGTCTTTAAGGTCCATTTTAACTGAAACCATTCTGATTCTATGAAAATGGTCTCTGAATGAGGCTTTATCACAAATTAAGACAGGTACAGTGTATCATACTTGCTAGACAGTAAGAGAACCTATAGCCTCAGCCCAACATTTTCCCCCTCCCAAACAGCATCTCTTTTCTATTGTAAATAGAAAGTTAATTTTCCTCTGAAGCTTCTTATTATAAAATCCAATATTAATTTAAAAAGTTAATTTTGAGAGACTTATAGTATGAACCAAAGGCACAAAAGTCAGCCAATGCATAACTATGATGCATTTGTGAGAATTTGAAAATTTACGATCTTCCAATAGCAAATTTAAATCAGTCAGTGTAGGGAATAATTTAGAGGTTTGATTTTTTTTCCATTTTCCTGTCAGTTCATGTTGACTTCATATTCCAGTTTTTTTGGTATTTACATCTGTTCATCCATTAATAACCAAATTTCATGACTTCATGAGCTACATGTTGGATGTGACCCCGGGTGAGTGTACACAAAGCTCACCAGCAGTCCCTGTGAAGGCTGCAGTGCAGAGCTGAGGGTGTTATTGTGAGATGCCCTTTGGGACCACACTCTTCATTTTATTTCCTCACTTGAGCACACTGTGTTGATTTGACAGGGCACAGTGGGATGGAAATAATTTAGACAAGATGTTGAGTTTTCACTGTCTGAGACCAAAGCTGCCTCTGAGACTGGGCTGGGTCGGTCCCAGCTGCTGCACATTGCTGGCTCACTGACAGCCAAGGAATGTCCCGTACTAGAGCACATTCAAATCATGCTGTTTACTTTAAATATTAACTTCTTGGGGAATGAGAAAAGGCTCAGAGGCAAAGCAAGCTGTGCTTAGCCTCTGTTTGATTTGCAACAGTTGTAGTAGACTTTTCCCTTTGCAGTTGCTCTGCAGCTTGGGGTCTGTTGCATCCTGTATTTCTTTGGGGAGCCAGGTGCTCTGCAGCCAAGACAGGTTTATAAGGGCAAATTTAGTTTGCAGAAAAGATAAGGAATAAAGGAGTGGTTCAAGACCAATACAGACTGAGAAGAGAACAGACAAGTGTGAAGTGGATGGGCACACTGTAAAGGATGAGGCGGGAACAGATTTAATGTTGGCTGGACAACAGGCTACGGAGAAAAAGTTATTTCATCACCATGGCAACTAAAAACCAAGAGAAAAGAGTAAGAGGCAGTGGTGAGTCCTGTGGCCTTACACAAGGATGTGTATTCAAGGATGTCCCACAATGCCTATTTTCATTTACGTTTCTGGTTAGATATTAACTGCAGTGGTTTTGTCCCTTTCCTGCAGTGCAGTGTTTGCACTTCTTGCACATTACAGGCCTGTTTTTGTGACTGATGGATGCTCAGAGCCCACGGAGGTCAGTCAGCAGCTCACAGCACCATATCCCATCCCAGCTGGCAGGTGAAATCTGTTTTATCTTTCTGGTAGTACCAAAAGTTATTATATTTTATTTCACAGTATCTTTAAAATGTTACCTAGGCTTTACCTTTACATGGGAACTGACTCTTCTCTGCATCTCAGCTGTTTCATGCTCGCATGATTCTAACGAGGTCAGAGTGGCTCCTATCCTGTTGTGTGCCAGACAAGATGAAATGTAAGAAAATCCTTCAGTCTGCAATGCTATGCTGTGAGTGATAATCTGTCTCATCAAATTTGGTATGCCAGATGGAAATGAAACTGGAAATCGGGCTTGGCTTGCTTATGGGCAGGTACTGACTGCTGATTTCTGCCAAAGACTGACTAAGAGAAATCCTACCAGCAGCAGTGTGAAGTCAGGCTACAAACCTATGCTCATTTTCCAGAAACCTGAAACACTGCGACATTACGATGCACTATTTATATCTAACCCTCCCTGTTTGGGCACAAGTTTCTAAAAATTGCATCAATGAACCTGGAGCCCGATGTTATTACATTGAAAACACCATTTTGCCACCTAGTGGTGATTTCTCTATTTCTTATATATGCTTTTGCTCCTCCAACTTGCATCTTCTTATCGTGCTGTGAGCTGTATATTGTTCAGGCAGGCAACTCTTCCAAGAAGGCACATAGTAATTTTACTATGAAAAGTAGCTACATGTTCAGCAGAAACTGAAAGTTTGTAGGGATGAATTAACCAACTTCTTTATTTTAAGTATTACCTAGCTTGGAAAGTTTATTTACATGATTTGCATTACTTTGTTAACAATGAAAAGAATTATTCATTTAGCTCTGTTCAAGGTTTCTAGTTAAATGGAATTTTCCAACGTTTCTATCTGCTGTGATTTTCAGTGTAGATAGAGGACTTCACTCTGTAATGTAGCTGAGCAGCATTCCCTACCAAACAGAGTGTTTTAACACTTGAGCTGCAGGAACAAGGCTGTAGGTGCACTGGCATTTTGAGGGGGGCAGATTGCTGCTCTGCAGCCTAGAGAGAAACCCTTCTGAACAAGCAGGATCTCTGAAAGAAGTCTCTTCAAAACCATGCACTAAGTGTGTGATTTACTGCAAGGAGACACTCCCATCTGGGATGTATTTACTTATAACAAAGCTGTCTTTTGTTTAGCATCACAGAAACAGCTGTGTTTGTCCATAAACCAGAGGACAAAAATGAGAAATAAAATGATGTTATATTATGGTGCATTATATTAGTTAACATGGTTTGATTTTGATGTTTTATTCTTGAGAGGTTGCATGAAACTCACTTCCTGAGTGTTTTGCCAAGCATTTTTTTTTTCATATAAGTCTTTGAATATATGCCAGAATTCCAGTGATTTTTTTTTTTTTTTTTTTTTTAAAGGTCTTTTTTTTTTTTTTTTTTTTTTTTTTTTTTTTTTTTTTTTTTTCTTTTTTTTTTTTTTTTTTTTTTTTTACTATAAAGGCTCTTGTCTTGCTGGAGAAGGCTAGCTCATTGTTGCTGGTGAAATTACACCTTCATGAGAACAGCATGGTGTTGGCTAAAACAAAGCACCTTATAGAAAGGAAAACATCCAAGACCTCAAATGCTAAGGAAATTATGTGCACTTCTTCCCAAGAAAATGGCCTGTTTCTAGATTTTTCTCAGTCATTGGCACCACTGTATGAGCTAATGAGAAATCAGAATTGTGTATAGATTGTAGCCCTGTGACAGTCTCAGCTTGTGCACTGTTACATCAGCTGGAGGGGCTGAGGGCACCCTCAAAAGGGGGACTCAGTGTGTCAGAGCCATCAGGAGACTGACCACCACACACAAGCCCTCACTCCTCATTTCTAACTGCCTCTTGTTATGTGACATCCTTGTGAATATTCCTTTACAAACAGACTGACAAGGGTTTTCAAGTGAAAGCAAATTACTACTTATGAATTCCCATAAAGTGGAAAAGCTTTATTCAAAGGATTAAGACAAAATTCAGAGGGCAAGAAGACAAAGTTCAGAACTGGATGTAAATTGGCAAAAGCAGAACTAAATTTTTTCAAGTTCCTCAATACATTTCAAAGAAAAATATAAAAAAAGATCCTCAGAAAATTATTTTAACTCATGCTGCCAAATATGAATCTTAAATGTATTTATTGTTCAACTTCTACTATATCTCCTCTCTCCCAAAAATTAAAGAATTGCATTTAAAAATAAAGTCAAACTCACACCCAACTTTATTACTAGCAGATCTCATACAAAACCGCTTATTTCATTCATGTTTTAACCTTGGTAAGACTAATACAGATTTTTAGTCATCCCCAATAAAGGTGTTTATATTTATTCAAATGATTTATTTCATGACATCTGTAAACTGTTAAACAATGGTTTCTTCCTTGTGCATATGTCATCATGTGCCAATTGACTGATATAACTCACTGTTTTACTGTGCTTTTGACCCAGGTTGTCATGGTGTAGAAACCTGAAACTATGACCCTTATTTTTCAGCTTCACCTCTTTGGTAAACAGACAGTATTTGGCTTGGCTGAGTGAACTGGGATATTTGTGAACTGGCTTTAATGATCCATCTGTGCAAGTTGTTTTTCAGCAAATTATAGGACCATAGGACAATTCAGGTGGGAAGAGACCTCAGGAAGTCTCTAGTGTAACCTCCTACTTACTCCAAGCAGGGTTAGCTGTAGGGTCAGACCTGGTTGCTCAGGGTTTTGTCCAGTCCAGTCTTTGAACCCTCCCAGAGTGGACATTGAATCCATCTCCCAGTGAGAGCTCTGCTGCTGTTTGATGTCTTCCCTGAACACTTTGACCAAGAGCAGATACCTGGGAGAGCTGGTCAGCCCCATCCACTGCCTGTATTGAGAAGTTACCCCTAAGAATGCCCAGAAAACACTGACTGGTTATGTTCCACAGCTGCCCATCCAGCAGATCTTGGGTCGAGTTCCCCATGAGAACCAGGGTGTGTGACCAGAAATACCCTTAATTTTAAAGAAATCTCTGTGCATTTCTTCATCATAACCACGGGGCCTGTAACAACAACCCATCACAGTGTCTGTCTTCCCAGCCTCTCTGTTCCTGACCCACAGGCTCTCCACCAGCTGGGCATTCATCCCATAGAAGAACTCCATAAATCCAAGCTGTACATTCACACAGTGGGCAACTCCTTCTCCTTGCCTTCCCTGCCCACCTTTTCTGAAGGACTTGCTCCATCTGGTTGCTCCCTCTAGCTCTGCAAGCTGTTCCACCCTGAGTTATTCCAATATTTCAGTGACTCCATGCAGATCTCTGCTTTCTCCTGCTTCATTCCACAGGTTGCAGGTCTTTGTATATTCTTAAATTTGATGTCTCTTTACCTTTCTAATTTATTCTGAAGCATCTCTTGGCCCTGCCTTCCTTCCCCTTTGCTTTCCACCCCATTCAGTGCTGTTTCCCAGAGATTGATATTTCCAACCTTTATGATTTCTGGCTTAAAGCACACCTCACCAGATGCACCATCATGTGAGCAAACTCTCCCTTGTCTGGCTTTGTCAGGTGGACCCCATCTCTCCCCCACAGTCCTCAATCCTCACTAAAGATCCTGTGTTTTTAAAAGCCAAAAAGCCTTTTGATGACACCAGTTGCCCAACTGGGTATTGATTTGCAGGACCATCTGCTCCTTCTCATGTGTTTCCCTTTCACCAGTGAGATTGAGGGGGCATCACCTGGGCCCTGCCCTTCACCCCCATGCCTGCAGCCAGGTACTCACTTCTGACCACCTGTCAACAATAGAAACAACCTTTTTCATGGCTGAAATTAGGTGGTTGTACCTAAAACAAGCTGAGTATAGATTCTCTTAAACACACAATAATTTTAATTTAATGATATTAAATATATTTCTGTTTGATCAAGCATTGAATCTTGGAAAATCAATTGCTTAGAGGTAGCTACAATCAGAAATGCTTTGAATTTCCATCAAGACATTAATCTTTATCACTAGTATTTCTTGATAAATTTATTTTTCTTTTGAATGTTAGGGATACTATTTCAGCTATCCCTGTAGACTACAGACGGAAAAAGTCCATATATCTCTCTATACCTATAGGCTTTTCCAGTGATTTGTTTGTAGAATTCTACATTTCTACAAATTTCTTCATAGGAAATTACCTTCCTGCTGCTGAAATATCTGTTCCTTCAAGAGTTCCTGCAAGGGAAAATTGTCAGCCTTTGTTGAGAATACCCAACAGGAAATTCTAATGTTTCCATTGGAACTCACTTTTTTTATTGGACCTTGCAAAACATTTCTTGAAGAAATCTTCAGCTCCACCTGACATAACACTTTATGCTTTGTGTCTTAAAATACAGTTTGCAGTGATAATTATTTGCTAACAAATTAACTCTATGCTTTCAAAACACCTCCACAGTGCCATTTAATAGTGTCTTGGCTTCCCACTAACTTCAGTAGTGAGTGGGGTTTTTACAACAGCATTTGTTCTCAGTATTTTACCTCTCTTCTCTAATTACTTTTGCTGTTAAAATGGTCACATTGTCAAGTCTTGCTTAAAATTCACAAACATTCATTGTCTGCACAAATGCAACAAAATCTCAGCAATAAAACGCCTGTTGATTTTATAGCCTTGAATAAAACACTATACTTCTTATTTTGCATTATTACAATTTTTACATTGTTCCAAAACATGCAGAACAGCTTATTTTTGTTATTGTTTTTTAGTATTTATACCGAATATTTAATATATATTCCAAGTTATAAAATTAAAATTAATCTTTGTAGGTTTTAAGTTTAGAAAACCATATGGCAAAAAGTTAGCAAAGTAACAAGGGTGTCTAGCACAGAGCAAACTACACAGTCTTCTGTAAAATAATTATTTCATATTAATATGTGGGAGATAGGAAAGAATAGCTAGGAGAAATAAAAAAGTGTGTCTTTCTTCTACACTTCATCACTTTATGTAAAAGCACATATAAATCCAGCTAGCAATAACTAGTGAATAAAGTTCCAGGGGGTGTTTGACTGGCCAATCTCTGCCTGTGTAAGGCTGGAAAGAGATTTCACAACTAATAAATAATAACATTCATGATTAAGAAATAGTTTAAAATGTGTAATAGCACAGAATGAGGCTCTCTGCCCACAAAGGAGTTAAGTTTAGGTACGACAGTGTGTGTGTGACACCTATAAATGTAATGTAAGATGTGTGCATCTTGCCTGCCCCTTCTGCAAGCACACGAAATGAGTGCAGAGATGGGGG